TTTTTTTACACAAGACAATTATTAAAAAAAATTTAGTTAGAATTTTGTATGTAATTATATTTAATTTATTTACCTATTCATATTCTTTATTTGACTTTATATACTGTTCAGGCAGATACAGTTTTACGAACATACATAAAGAACCCATATTTCATACACAAACACCTCGAAACGGATGAAAGTGATAGGCTACAATTACAGTTAATTTACGAATCCATCTTGACTATAAAAACAATGACATAGTTCAGTCACAAACCGAGCTTTCAGAATGTCACCAGTGAGCTATAAAAGGAGGCGTTTTATTTTTATAACTCACTCTCAAAAATGAGATCAATAACAACCATGAGGGCGGAGTAAGACAGTCAACCTTAATATAGTCCAGTGACCACTTCTGTAACTCACCTTAAGAGTATAGTCAATTAGCGCCTCGTACTCATCCTTCTCCTGGTCTGTGTTGACTTCGTTGCCTTCTTCCTCTTCCTTAATATTCTCCCCATTCTTACTTCCTTTCTCCCTTCTCATTCCCATCTCAGGATTGAAAAAATTTGGCCATCCGAAATTAATCTTGTGTTCTGCTACGGTTTTGGGGGCTGCATCCACTGTCAAGATATATGTATATATATATATATATATATATATATATATATATATATATATATATATATATATATATATATATACTGTATAAAACCTTTTAAAACATCAGATGAAAAGTTGTCATTATCTTTCAACACAGATTTCCAAGCTTTGATATATTCTAGTAGTTATCTATGAAATAATTAAAGAAAACGATACTTCATAGAAAACAAACGACAATGCTTGGGTGACAAATATATTCTATTATATAACCATCTCGCATAGTGAGATTATTGAATGTATTTTAAAGTCTAATTCATTTGGATCTGTTTAGTGGACAATCATGAATATCATACAATGTTTAAAAAGAAGTATTGCTACTATCTCCAATCACAAAGTAAATTATAGTATAAACTATCTACACTACAGTACAGTATGTAGATCACTGGCGTTTAATGTAATAAAGGATATAGAGTTAACTTGTGTATGTTTCCAGAATTTTAAGGACCACAGGTTCCATTAACTTTTCATTTAAATCAAAACATTGCTTCCACTAATCTCAAATACCATTCATTTTTTTTAAACATTTATTGATCTCTCTGCACGTTCGATCTCTTCTTATCTATTTCTTTCTCTTCATCTCACGTATTCTCTACCGTCATATCCAGTCACAGTGTACAAAACGGCTGACAAACCTAAGAGAAGCCAATCTAGCCAAAGTGTTACAAGAACTTGGAGACTACCATAACTAGATCGACTTGTTTACCTTTAGTTGGGAGAATAAAATATCACGCGACTCATTGAGCATCCACACGCAGGTAAACGTCACCTCTCCGGAGCAACACAGTGAAACTCGCCCACCTGTTGCGACCAATATCATTCTGAAGCTTTCTAACTTTCTCCTTCACACACCTCTCACTCGTTCAAGTGATTTATGACCGATTTTTAGTTCAAATGATTTTTTATGTTTTATTTTTCCATCATTGTTTATATTTCCTGGCTGCTGTTCCGTGGTTGTTAAAGAGGCTGCATCTTTTATGGAAAGACTTTCGTCGAACGATATTCTGAGGTGCTTGTCGTAATAAAAATTAATTACAAAGATTAGCTGGAGATAAGAAATGCTGATATGCTTAGACATGTCTGGAATGTTAAAAGTTAATGTTTAAAAGGTAAAGTCAGTCTGTACTCATTATAAAACGTATAAAATATAATTTAAAATATTTCAAGAATCATTACTTAACATTAATTACTATAATTCGAAATTTTTGTAACCCAAACCCTTATAAAGTCACTCTTATCTGACGCGAGGCGTAAAAATTACAATATTTCAATGATTTACGGGGGCTGAGAGAATTTATAGGATTCCAGACTCTAGAAGACAAGAATAATACAGAGAGAAGACTTAATAACCATGCACTCTGGCCTTGGCTCACTCCTACTTGGACTACTCACCGTGCAGCGCCGCCAGCGTGACACACCACATCACCACTAATCTGACAGCTGAGCCAGCGATGGCCATCTTCGCGCCGTGGTCCCTCCCGCCTACTGTATAGTGTTAGTCAGCACCTCCAGGATGTGGATAAGTCTTTGTTTCTCTCCGAGTACTTTAGGTAATTGTCAAAAAATAGATTAAATCCTCTTATAAATTTTCAGTTTGTCCTTGTTAGTAGATACTTTGTTTTTCTGTAAATTTTACTTTAGAATTTTCTCATGGTTTAACGAGTGTCCGCTAATGGTAACACAAATCACACATTACTTTCTGAAATGTCATGTTTTCACTGTTAACGACACTCCAACACCATGGTAAAACTTCTGCAGGGATAAACAAGAGGAAGTCCCCAGGACCTGCTAGCCGAAGCGTGGAAGACTATAGACTGAGCCAAGACCTGGAACTGAGCTACACAGAGCAACCAGAAGTGACAACAGACGGCGGACGACGAAGCTTTCTCCCCGCCGCTCCTGCATGTTGCCAGAGGGAGTCAGCGGAAGAAGGCTGTACGGCGCCAGGATCATCTCAAGTTATCGTCACTACTACACGTGCGGGCTTAAGCAAGTGTGAAGAGGATGTATGATTTCATGATTATCAGCGTATTATAAATATTGCACTGTTGTATTGTACACTTATAAAGTAATATTATGGCACTAAAGCTAAATACACTATCGCTCGCACACACAAAGAGAAAAACAACTTTGTCAATCTTTACCATTTTTTTTAGAAATAGTTTTGTTCGAAATGCTGTAGTTAGTCCATTTCCACAACTGTGTGGGAGACAATGCTTAAATGGTCTCGTTTGCCAGATCCGGAGGGTAAGTATGGTATAGCGTCACATAAGCCCCTGTTGCTCGCGCTGCTATGTTAGCCATATGTCGCTGCTGGGGTGAAAGCCGTCAAATTAACACCGAACAACCTTTTCCCTGGAACATTACGTACGTCTGGGTTATTCTTATTGTGTCATGTGTTTGATCGTTTCTGTCTGGGCGAGTCCGAAGATTAGTGCATTTTATGTTGTATAACACTCGTATGTTCATCTCTAGTAACTGCAAAATTGTAGTGAATGCTAACAACTTTTATCAACAGATTTAATGAGAGTTACTTGTTGTAAATCCTTTCACTCAGAATTATTTTGAATGATGAAAATTTTATAAATTTTTAATGATTCACAATTTTCAGTGCTGGACAGTTCAGGACGCCGACTAAAACTTTAAAACTTTCAGGAGAACGTCATTTGCTGAGAACAAAATAGCTCCCCCCTCCCCCCCAAGAAAAAAGTGAAATGACTAATCAAAAATGTGAAATTCCAGAAGATGTCCTCCGTAAACTTCCTGACCTCTCGTACGTCTATGGGAAAGGGTCTCGGAAAGGGGACGTGATTGCTGCCCGTATCATCATTGGGTATGACTTTGCTTGGGAGATTGGTATCCCCGCATCCCCTGAGCAACGCTCTTGTGCATTATGCAGAAGACCCGACAGCAGCACCCTTATCCACTACCTCCTAAGATGTCCCCACACACAACGCTTCCGTGACGCCTGCTGGACCACCACTCCACGACCCCCTGACGGAGACACGATGATCCTCCCCATACTGGCCAGATATTTTGTAAAAAACATTGATTGTGTTAAAGCAGGGGTTCTCAACCAGGGGGGAATTCAGGTTTTCAGGGGGGGGGGAAACTGATTCGGGAGCAAGAGATATGTTCGATGAGAAATCAATCACAGAATTTTGGCCCTTGATGTGCGATTCCTACCCAAAAGTGGCAGAAAGAGCTATCCGTGCATTGCTTCCGTTTGTGTCGACATATCTTTGTGAGTCAGGCTTTTCAACTCTGTTGCAAATTAAAACGAAGCAACGTAGTAGATTAGAGGCAGAAAATGACCTGCGTTGTGCCCTTTCAAGCACTCCTCCGCGTATCCCAGAATTGGCGAAGAAAAAACAATCACAGGTTTCTCATTGACTGTAATCTTCATCTGAATAAAATTAATTACAAATTTACAATATCCTGGTATTCTATTGAACTTTTTGTTTATTGCATTATGCTTCAGTTTGGTCTGTTAAGTAATTCATTATATAAAAAAAACAAAACTATTTTACTTTTATTCAAGTTTTATAAATCCATCAACATTTTCAAGTGGCATTTAATTTGTAAAACTCCACTATAAAAATAATCCATATAAAATTTTAAATGTATATGTACTAATATGGAAAAAATAAAGGATTTTCAGTATTATATGCATATTATTTGGAATGCACTTTTTGAGGCAGACAATCTTGGAAAGGAGGGGGGAATGACATTCTGACATATGGTGAAAGGGGTGCATGGGGCAAACAAGGTTGAGAACCACTGTGTTAAAGGAATATCCTTCCTTCTTTAGGCTTTAGTAAGCCCCTTTATAATATTTATACTGTATACTTGTCACACTTGCCAGATGCTTCTGGTGTCATTGTACAGGGGTACCTAGTGACAGCACTAGGATCCCGCTTCCTGTATCAAGGAATAAACAATTGAAATTGAATTCCAGAAGACTAATACTGTTACTATCCCTGCCGGCCACCACATGTGTAGCGTTCATTCACCTCCTTATTTCCTAATTTCACTATAACTGTAATATATAAACTGAGAACTTTACATAGCCTGGCAAATATTATAGCTAAGTGCATGAGCTTGCTATATGCCCTACTATTTTTTGGAAACTTAGATAAGAGATTAAAAACTGTATAAGATGAAAAAAAAAGTCTTATCGTAACTAACTTTCGACCGAGAATGACGCCCGACCTCTACCACTCATACTAACACATGGTAGTGTTGATGGCCGGGTGAGCCTCGCCTCTTTCACCAGTATAATCTTCACTCAAAACTAACAGCCTATACTGTCTGCAAGTCACTATACACCATCAATCAGCCCCTTCTGTCATTTTCACTTGATCATCGTTCACTGTCACCAGCCCCCTATCTCCTCTTCAGTTAGACTGCTACATGTACTGTACATTCAGGAGCCGGTTCATGCCCAGTACTTGCCAACAGTGCGTAAGAGAGGCGTGAACCAATCGCTCAAGCGGCTAACGAGCCGATCAATGGTGAAGAGGATAAAAGAAAAACAAAAGATTTAAGCTTTGATACGTAGGCTTAGGTATGAAACAGAGCCGTAGAAGGTGAGGTACTTCCCCGTCTGGAGTAGTCACCCCGTCTGGAGTACTGTAATGAAGCGTTTTAAGTGTAGGAAGTATAGAGAGAATATTTAGTAGAAGGTAAAAGAGAGGAAGAATTTGGTAGCGTGGCCGTGTTCGTTATTTACAGTGTCAATACACTTATCTTATCTTATACGTCAATTCAATACACATCTATTACGTTCTTAAGGACGATTCTCAAACACTGCTTCGTTACAACTATTTATTAATTATGACAATGGCACCTTCTATCAAAGTTACTAGGACATTACATTTACGTTACTAGGACTTCATATTACGTTACTAGACACTGATTCTCGGACACAAAAATGAAATGAATACACTTCCCACGTAAGTAACTCATTCCATGGATAGCTCTGACAAAAACTCACGTGACCTGGGGGAGGCCTAGCAGGTGATTCTGGGCTGTCTCTATGGGAGACTGCTTAGCTGGGCACCGGTGTCCGGAGGGGAGTCTCGTTCCCAACCGGAGGCGGGCTTGCCTCCTGCTCTCTCTGTTTGACTGTCTCGACTCTGCTCCGTCGACTCTCTCGTGAGGGAGGGCTACGACGTCTTATATATTGGGAGACAGGCTGTCAGGTTGAGCTGATCGGGGCGAAGAGTCTCCCTTACATTTGACCTCGCTAATGTCAGGTCTGGACTTTTTCTGAGACTAAAGTTGTATATATTGGAGACAGGTGGCCTCTTCTGCTGACTGGGTGCCTGTTAACATAGTTGGTGGGGCCGTGTGACATGAGGGGTGCGGGTTGAGTTGTGGCCCCTTGACTTGGGCTGCGAGGGTCCTTTACATTTGACCTCGCTAATGTAAGGTCAGGTCTGACCCTTTTCTGAGATGTACTGAAGGTTATTGTGTATATTGGGGGAGAGTCGGCAGGTGGGCTCTTCTTCTGACTGGGTGTCTCTTATATATTTGTTGCGGCCGTGTGACATGGGGAGGGGTGCTGGATGATTTGTAACCCCCTTTGAACGGCCGCGAGGGGTACCCTTACACTTGACCCCCCCTAATGTCGGGTCAGATCTGGACTGTTTCTGAGACGTAAGCTGTGGTCTGACAACCCATCACTACAGTACTGTCACCCCGTCTGGATCACTGTCACCCCGTCTGGAGCGCTGTCACCCCGTCTGGAGCGCTGTCACCCCGTCTGGAGCGCTGTCACCCCGTCTGGAGCGCTGTCACCCCGTCTGGAGCACTGTCACCCCGTCTGGAGCGCTGTCACTCCGTCTGGAGTACTGTCATCCTGTTTGGAGTACTGTCACCCCGTTTGGTCCCCGAGATATGCTAGGGACTGTCAGTTGAATGAAAATGTCTAAAGGAGGGCCAACAGACTGGTACCTGCACTACGGCACCTCGGCTACCCTGAGAGATTAGAGCACATGGAATTATCTATCTCTATCTATCTATCTATCTATCTATTACTAATCAGTGGTAACCACCCAGTAAGGTATGGTAACTACCATTGTTGTAGTCTGGAAGTATTTCCATCATATTTTAACAGAAAAGGTTTTCTGAGTTAAGGGTTTAGTCAATTTGAAAAGTATTATAGTAGTATTAGATGAAAGTAAATGTGTTAGTAATATTAAAGTTTTTTATGATATAATTAAGTAAATCAGGAAAACTAACCAAATCGCTGAGATCATTAACTCTTAAAACTGTTGGGTCGGCTCAATAGATGGCAGGTAGTGAGCACTGTGCGTCGTCTGCTTTGTTTACATATACTATGGCTTGTTTACATATTCTATGGTTTGTTTACATATGCTATGGCTTGTTTACAAATACTATAGTTTGTTTACATGACAATGAGTAATACCATGTTTAAAACGTTTCTCGTATAGTATCGGGTCTGGTCAACAGATGGCGCTGCTAGGCATATCTAAGACATCACATTTTTTTATCGATATAGGTGGTAACTATATACGAGTGTTTCCGAAGCTAAACAATTTGGAGTAATGTACAGTATAATTATTTATGATTATTTTTATTTACGTTTTCCTCATTGCTTCTTTTTATATTACGATATAAATTAATTTATCCTCAAATATTTATTAAATCTTGTATGTTCGATTAAGGTTGGATTTATTTTTTAATATTCCCTCATTTGGATACATTTTTTGGCGTGAAGAAGACTAAAGATATGTAATTGACTCACGAGGAGCTTCAGTGGTAATTGAGATACGGTAGGATGAGGTTATTATTTATTTATGTGGTTCAATTTATATAGGGTCTTGTTATACTCGATAA